ACCTGGAGACACACGCTCGTAGCCAAGAAAAGGCAACCTCGAAAGGCCCCTTGTGCATTGGGATGCTCCGAATAGGGTTACAAACATGTACATTACTGACCATATGTAAACCAATGCCCATAATAAAAACAAAACCAAACCAGAAATTGTCCTGTGTAACACACAATGTCCAACAAATGAAAACTAATGTTCATTACAGCAAAGTCCAACAACAGGAGTCCATCGGTGCATGTCCATAAAGGGAGAACACAAAAGTGAATAATAACAAGTCCAACATACTATCAATGTCCCAGAGTTGCAATCGGGCCAATAAATCGTTTCGTTTGAGTCTGTTACTCTTCAAAATTTTAATATGAGCTCTTATATGTGTATGCAAGAGGTCTATAACCTTTTGCAAAGAGTCAATAAAAAAGAAAATATTCAGGATTTTTGACAATATCGAAAACAGTGCTGATTTCGAGTTGCAACTCTACTTCTTGATTTTTAGAGAAGCGATGAATTCTTGTATGGCCACCAAAATTTACTATAGCTATACTTGGGCTCACAGAAAGTCTTGGACCCCCTGTTTTTTGAGAATATCTTTGCAACCAGAGCATATTTTTACTTGGGGTAAGTTGTAAACTTAATCTGGGGAATTTTTAGAAATTTTTGAGATAGGTTGCAGAGTCTGAGTGTGAGAACATATTTCCATATGAATATTTTAAAAATTTATCAAAATCTGCAAGCCCAAATAAATTTTTTAAGTAAAAATAGTAGTTACCACTAGAAAGAGCAGCCTTAAAAATGGGGGGCACCACATTACTTGGGGCTGTAACATTTTTTTGAAGGCTGGCATTCTCTTGTCAAAGTGGCTCAAAAATGCAAAAATTGGCAAAAATGGCCAAAATCAGCCAAAATAGACACTTTTATAGCATGATTCTTCAGGTTTAAAAAAAAGGTACAAGTCAAGCCAAAGTGGTATACCCCATTTTCAAGGCTGCTCTTTCCAGTGGTGACCACCATTTCTACTCAAAAAAATTATTGGGGCCTGCAGATTTTGATAAATTTTTAAAAATATTCATATGGAAATATGTTCTCACACTCAGACTCTGCAATCTATCTCAAAAATTTTTAAAAATTCCCCAGATTAAGTTTACAACTTACCCCAAATAAAAATATGCTCTGGTTGCAAAGATATTCTCAAAAAACAGGGGGTCCAAGACTTTCCGTGGGCCCGAGTATAATGATATAGATCAACAGAATAGAACCTTTTATTGAGGCCAAATTGAGTTGTCCGTTGTTTGAGAAAGCAATTTTGAAGGAGGTGCAAATGAGTGTGATGAATTTCAAACTCCGCTGGACAGATGTTAGATGCCGATGCGCAACCAATTGTGCTGGGCCAAAACAATCTTTTACTTAATTTATTCTACCTCTTTTCTTAATCTGAGACATGCCGAAGAAGACAAAGGCAGAATGTTGTGGAGAAAGAGGAGTTGATTCAGAAGGCCGTACAGGATATACACAATGGCATGTACAAGAATCCGGTTCACGCTGCGAAAGAGCTTAGAATTGAATTGCAAGCTGACACCATTTGTTGTCAAAAAGATGGCAAAACCAAATGCCCTCGGGACGCTCATACCAAGCAGCAGCTCCTCACTCCGGTCCAGGAAGGCATGCCCACTGAATGGTGCAAGTTCCTTGCTGTGACTGCACATCCCCTTTCAAAACACAGCATTGCTCCCAAGGTGAAGGATCTCTGTGGCAGGAATCCCAAATGCAAATGGGTGAAATGCTTTCTTGAACGTCACCCTGACCCAAATCTTTGGACCTCCTCCAGGCCATTACGCATATCCTCCAGACACATATGGACCATCCCAACAGTAATAAAGTTGTATTTTTGTAGATTCATACATGCACTTAAGTAGAACTGGCTTTGCTGTTTCTCACTTTCAGATTGCTCTTGGAAAGGTGAGATGCCGACGCTGCTGGGAACCTGTCACAATCTGTCACGATTGCAACTCCTGCCATTTTCTAAGGTCAAACTGTCATGACACTGGTACTTATATCATTTTCTCACCCCTATTTTTCACTTTCTTCACACACTTGTTCAGATGATTGCATTTATGACACACCATCATTCCATTCCAATATTCCAATACTTCTTTGATACATCACACTTCCATCTTCTTTCCACATGATTCCACTGCCTCTCTTTCTATTCACTTTATCATCCTCTTGCTTCTCGCCGAGACAATTCCTAATCCTTACTATTATGATTCCTAATCCCTTTCTCGCACTGTCACCCTTTCATTGTTCTTTCATGTATGACCACATGTATCTTTGTTTTCTTCTTCTCACGCTGTCGCTTTTATTGTTCTTTCCTTTCTATTCTCCAACTCATATAAATAGGACTGTAGATAGCTCCTAGTTCCCCATCTCAACCTCTTGGTCTTTGGGGACTAGGTATGTGTTTGTATCTTCGCTCACACTCAATATTGACTTGGTCTTTGGGGACTAGCTTGATATCCTTTGATCATTGTGATTGGCCCTCTGAGCTATCACTGTCATTGAGATCCCTTATTCTTTTATATTGTGCTTGAGCTTGCATCACCACCTGTGCTTGATGCTCACTCTGTGTTAGTGACTGTGCTTCATATCTGTGCCACTGCCTCATCTCTTGTCTCCGCAACACAAACTGGCTTCATATTGGCTACAGTGTACTGTGAGAGCCTCAAAAATACCCAAACTTGGTCATATCAAATTTTAAGGTATGTATTTATTGTTCCCAAAATTTAGTGGCCAAATGTAACAAACTGATGAAGTTTTTGTATACCGACATTTTCGGTTGCAACTCTGGGTGTAAACATTCCATGTTTATGATGCTGCAGCCAGGCCTCAGCCCTGCACCTGCAGTGTCCATATATAGGATCCGGGTTAAGAATTGGTGACAATTCTTAAATCTGCCTTTTAGTGCAGTGGTATTGTGGCTGGATTCTACATGCTTACACTGGGACATTGATAGTATAAGACCATCAAGAAACAGGGTGGGAAGGGATGGGTTGCTCAAAAAAATGACTGGCAAGACAGATAAAAGACTATAAGCATTGACCAAGTTGTGATGTGAATATTCTTACCTGGCAAGACAGATGAAAGAGCATAGCTCTCTGTCTTGCCAGACTTACATTAAATAGGTCAAGGGAAAAGTTAGTCATCTGCATATCTCATTGCACTGAGATAGTACTAACCCAATACAGCTCCATCACTTCCAACCTTTGCACAGGTGGACAGCGCTGCTGGATCTCTCCTGGACCTGCAGCCTCGGGCAGAGACACTTGGGTTGTTGCTGCACATGCATGCTTGGTCTCCCTAGCATGATTGGCCTCCTGTAATCACAGATTAAGTCCAATTTAGAGAAATTCCAAATATTCTTCATGGTCAAGTAAAATAAACCAATTAGTTGCGAGTAGGATATAGAATTTTTCTAGGATCCATCGGACACATAACAGGTGGTATCCTGCAGATGGGTATTGTTGTCAGCATTTAGATGTGTCATTCTAGGTAAGTTTGATCTTCTGGCATTTATCGATTCAGGCTTGCGCCTCATTTAACACTGAAATGCTGTATGCATATAGGCGCTCCAGTACCGCTGATTATAAATGGTTTGGTAGTAAGTACTTCAAGGAAGTGATTGAAAGATTAGGACGAGGTACATGGGGCCCCTTGCTTGATTAGTTGGAGCCATGGTGAATGACAAGTAATTTTTATGCAAGGACTGAGATCTATGAGTTGAGCACAGAAGTATATAATAGTTGAATTGACTCAGTGATCTTTGGCTGACCAATAAATCTTTGGGAAATTTTAAAGTGACTGAACCATGTTGGAATCATGAGCCCAAAATATATGTACTTTGAGCGAGCACGCAACATTGACTGTGTGTGTGGTATAGTTGGCTTAGCAGTAGTTCTTATAACCAAACTCAAAAATTATTCACATTAGAACTACTTACTTAGAGGTTCTGGGGATCGAACCCCAAGTCAAACCCTTACATATTCAAAATTGTTCACTCCTGATAGGTCCATGTTGAACCAGTTCCTGTAACCGCGCGAAGTGCGGAAGAAAAATAGCTAAGTAGAAGCATTCACCTGGGATCATTCCAAGTCAGAAGTGCATACTCAATGCTAGACCAAGCTAACTGGCAAGTTTTTGATTTATTTGGAGTGTAACTGCACAGAGCGCAGAAGAAAAAATAAGCTTATTGATGTAACCTTGTAAAAAAAAAACTCTCCATTAATACATGCTTGCCTCTGGGCTGAACATCCATTATACTATGGTTGTTAGGATATTGAAGGGTTAGGGGTAGTGAAATTTTCAAAAAATCACTGAAAATGAAGGCCTTGCAGTTGTCAGATGGCTACGGTAATTTTTTTGCAGCATCTTTAGGTACTAATACATACTTCTATCTACTTACACTGAGCATACTATGAGAGAAAACAAAATCGTTGAGGAAATAATGAATGCCCTTAGCCACATACTTTGATCAAACTGCCAGGAACATTACATTAGTGAATAGGATAAGTACATGAAAGTAGCTGGGGCTTGATAGTATGTTTAGCAAAGCTTAAATTCCAAATTTCAAAAGAGTAGATGCAATATCGAAAGAATGAGGAGCAAAACAAACAATTTGCACCATCTCTGTGACAGCACTGTGAGAAATGAGTGAACTATCTCTAACCCCCCTCGGTCTCTGCCCAATGAAGTCAGCAAAATCAAGAAAAATCTCAGAAATTCAAGGTATTGGTTTTTAATCACTACCAATATGGCTATCTACTCAGAATTATAATACTCGAGTAGCTTGAGAAGTTATTGATCAAAATTTCACTATCCCTAACAACCATAGTATATTGTTTAGGGAAATTACTAGTTTCTCAATGTTGATGAAGCATGACCTTCGGACTGATTTGATCCATGCAGTTTCTGCAAGTGAAGTGGAGTGCACTAGACCTTGCAAGCAAGGTGAATATGGGCACTTGGCACAGTTGGTAGTGCGCACACTTTGCAGAGTATGATCGAGTGCATGAGGTCAGGAGTTCGACTCTCCTAGTATCTGTGGTTGTAAAATTCATGCTTTTCATTTCCTTTTTACTTTAACTATGGAGAAAAACTCTAACCAAGCGGTGATGTTCAATAATTCTTCAGGACCATCATCATCATCATTGCCTCAAGGACCTGCACATTTGGTGGAAAATGTGATTCGCTGATGCAACTCTGATCACATTCTCGCCAAGTTCAACTTAAGTGCAAGTCCTTGTTCATCGTCGCTGGACGCACTGCTGATGTATTCTTGCAGGGATATAGTAGCTAGGGTATTTTGAATGAGCTCCTACTATCCTTTGATACATAGACACTTTGCAGTGGAGGGTGTTTAGAAGAGAAATTTGTTGTGTAATGAAAACTGGTCATTTTGAAGTTACTTTTACATTCAAAACTACTCATAAAAATCTGCTAAATCAGGTATTATGAGGGGTTCATCTGATTTCAGAGGATTTTACTCCACCCAAGGCCATTTCAAGCACTTAGCATTAATTCTTGATCAGTTTGACTATGCAGAAGGTACATGTAGCCTTGTTAAGACAATGTAATACATATTGTGCCTGCATTTATGTCAGCGATGCATCCAGCAATGACAAATGTCGAACAAGGACTTGTGCTTAAGTTGAACTTGGCGAGAACATGATCAGAGTTGCGTCAGTGGATCACATTTTCTGCCAAATGTGCGGGTCCTTGAGGCAATGATTTATCAGAGGTTGGATTCTAAAAACCTTCTGCTGATTGGCTGAGTATTGTTGAGTATGCAACGGTGTGTCTTGAACAGTATGACTGGTCACCGGTTCGGTTGTACATATGTTAATATTATACGCCATCAAATCATTGACAAAGCATGCTACATATCCTTTTAACTGACTGGACAAGGCTGAATGGAACAGATGAGTGAAAAATCCCCCATTTGATGCACGCTAATTGTATCTGTTCATCAATTCAATGATATACCGTAAGACGGGAGGCAAAACATCTTGACTTTGATGGAAGATTCTCAAATGCTCATTTGACCAACAGTGTCATCTATTAGCACCACATCCATATTTGTGCCTGAGTGCATGTACACATTGCGCCATGCACATACACATTCAGCGGCACACATTCATTTTTGAAGGTGCACATTCACATACAGTGGTGCACATTCACATACAATGGTGCATATTCACATTAGACAGAACCTCAACCATTAGTTATTGTGTATGTACACAAACTTCATTCAGCTTATAAGTATATAGAAACATGAACACAAACAGCAGAGATTGCAGCTAATACCATCCCATGCCACTACTGTAGTTATTAGACCAATCATAATCGAAGCTGTTTCCAGTGAATCCCATATGACCTACGGATGTGCTACCTATGCTACTGAAAGAGTCATTGAGAATCATGTCAAGTTAAGCCATGTCTGCATTAGACAGAGGCTCTGAAGATAGATGGAACCCATTATAGCTGGAGGATCCCTCTGTGTTGGATGTAAATGCAAAAACCTGTGGCATTTCTGGCATAGTTGAGGTACCAAAGTTCTGAAATTCTGCAAAGGAGCATGAGGGACTGTGTTGTTATGAAATGTAAACCTTACAGTCAGTGTCTTCTTGCCATTTGGAAGCTTTAACAGGAGCGTTAGCCTTGGCTTTGCATATATTGAGTCAGCTGTTCAACACTATGTCAGGAAAGTTACACATACAAAGTGGTATAGGCTGAGTATAAGGAGCTACCAATGCTCTCGCCTGATTCCTATCCCTTGTAGAGGTCACACGGCCACTAGAATTAGATTCGGCTGCACCTGCGCATTGTCCTGAGGCTGATCATCCAGAAGCCTGCTGAATTTGCACTCTGAGATTCTTAGTCTGATTCTCAGCGGTGCACAGTTCTTCATGAAGACTGGAAAGCTTGTCGTGATGCTTTCAAGTTTCCTTTTTCTTTTGATGAGCATTAGCAGCATGGTTGGAGTTCTGTACAGTCCGATGAAAGCTATCATTATAGGGATTTCACTGTATTCCCAGCCTCAGGGAGCTATTGATCTCATCTGCTACTGAAATATCTAGTTTATGTGCCCTATGAAGTTAATACTGGTAAGATTATCATGAAGCAAAAAAAAAAAAATGGAGTTACAAATGTTACAATGGCTTCAGTAATTGACCTCTTAGTACCGGTATAAATATTTGTCCAGCAATGTTGGCTCTCATTCAGATTTGTGGTTGACTGCATAGTGGCCCAGGCTGTTGGATCTATCTTTGATTTGCACTGAATAATCCCAGAAAGAATAAAGGGCTGAAGTTTGTGCCTCCACCAGTCTATACTCACAGTCAGTGAACTTCATAGATTGAGAGAAATAGAACATACCTTCTACTTTACATTTATTTAGACTCTTGACCCATGCTGTGAATTCCCCGATGTCCATATCTGACTGAAGGTAAGGGAAATTCATGAGACATTGATAACCTTCCTCAGTTACTTCATGCCGGAGATCATGAATGCCTCTGAATAAGTTGAAGAATTATTCTCCCAAAGACAGAAAGAGAAAATGATATGTACCATTTACAATGAGTGAGACAAATGCATGAAATATGTTTCATGATTTCTTCTGCATTTGCCAACTGAATTTTGCTGTAATCTGGCTCATTCATCTGAGCAAATGACTCACCAGCACCCTGGATCAAGGCTAGTTCCATGTCTGTTGCTATAGTGAGAAGATTCCCAGATGCACAGAGTGCTTTGAACCCAAGTGGCTTCCCTGTAATCTCACAAGTGAGATCCTGGAGGCCATTAAAAAGCTCAACGTAAGTTGGTTTGTCCTTCATGTCAGAATAAATTCTTCCGATAGTTACTGCTACATTTTGATTAGCTATATATCCCACAACAATAGTATGAACAACAGACCTCTTCCTGTGGCTGCATGCCAAATTGTAATTTCATTCTCATCAAAGTCACCATCAACACATTTGAAGGTCCCATCAATTTCAAATGCAGTGGCAGAATGAATAAGGTTGAGAAGATGTGGTATGAATGTAAAAATGAGCTGCCCTTGAGTGGAGGAGGTAGTCACTTTCCACACGTAACAGTCATCTTTTAGTTTTGAACAATCATCTTTAAGAATTTGTAGTACACCTAGTATCAAATGCCAGAGTCAGGAAAGGATATAAATTAGGATATAACAATGTACCAGCAAAACCAGTACCTTCAGGGAATATCTTGGACTTCTCTTGTATAAGCCTTTGCTGTCGGGCCTGGCTATGTAAAGAAGGATGAGCAAGTGCCAGTGTACTGCCATTGAGGATTAATGCTGTGGTGGGAGCTACATAAGACTCAGTAAGGAACAAGTTTAGTCTCGTTAACATACCTCCTGCCACTGTCCTTGGTGTAGCTCCAACAATACCAGCTGCCTGTACCAGCTTGCGAAATAATTCATCTGCCTGATACAAACCCTTGGACCAAGGTAAAATGGGATGCTGATGCACCGTCACCTTATATACAACACAGGCTTGTTGAATTGAAGTGTCAACTGGGGTGAAGATTGTCCGCTTTGCACTGCAGGAGTGCTTGATCATTTCACTCTGACGACCATCAGCATTGTGGGGATATCCTAAGGAGCAAAGAAATCAAAATGAAATGAGTATGGGCAGAAATAGAGACTGACCACATGGACTCGCTTTTGCACCTAGCCGACCTGGCACAATTCAGGAGCAGGAAATAGATGGTATACCTTTGAGTGGGATATTTTGGAACAATTTTGAGAGGGCAACTTCATCAACACCTTTTGTCAGTGTCAAGGTTCGATGATTGCGCCACTTGGAGCTCCAGTTGGAACATCCAATGAAGGAGGAAAATCCATTGTGCTTGCCTCCCTATGTGAAAGATTTTATGAGTACATTTTAGTGTGTGAAGATGTACTATTCAGATGTACTCATGTCTGAATAGTGCTTCATGACAGGATGCCCATTACACAGAGCTCCATGCTTGTCAATGGCCTTACAGCCTGAATGAAAAATTACGTTCCAGAATCTACATAATATGCATGAGAAATTTAGTCAAATACCAAAAATGGACTCACATTAAAGTAACCTTGTCAATTGAGTCTGACTCTTGAATACAAGCCTGGATCTGCTCTTTGACAAGGTCATTGAGCGCCTCTGGATCCAGCTCATATCATGGCTCAAAATACTTTGGATCTGTCTGATCACAAGCATGTACACCACAACATTCCTGACATCTCCAGTGGCAGGGAAGCTTGGAGTCTGTGAAAATGGAAATATAGGCTTTGGAGTCCTTTATTCCATTATGACTTTTCCATGAGTCATGATCCTGATGAAGAAAAATAAGTTCAACTACAGCATAGATTAACACAAAAACTACTGCTTCTGTGATTTGAATACCAATATCAATGTCACTTCGGCCATCAAAGTCTGTAGCATCAAGTATATAGGCAGTAGACACTCAAGGAACTGGCCAATAGGAAGGAAATCCTCCATATACACATTCAAGGTGATCTACAGTGAGTTTCCGGGTGATTTGCATACACTGGTTGAGTTCCTCTGAATATATTCCTTCATCCATCCACACCGTCTGAGATTCTACCCACATTGCACCCATGGCTGTTTCTACATCATCACTACCAACAGATTCAATATCAGCCAAGTCAACTTCCTCCATTTCATCATCAACGCTTCTGATATCATCACCATCATCCTCAGGTTTAATATCAAGGTCTGATTTCATACCAACCGCTGTTGGAGAGGAACAGCGTGAGTTATATTCACTGTCGTAGTTGAAGGAACCATCCTCGCTTCCCAGAATAGCAGGGGAATTGTGACCTAAACCCAATTCAGGCTAATCCAGAAGCCGACTATACGCCAAGCTTACCTGAATTAGATTGTGATTCATCATCCGAATCCAAAATTAATATTGTCTCGCAGCCATTTTCCTCCATTGTCCGGATTCACACAGGGTTGCTTGAAAAAACCATCTGATTACTAAGATCTTCCTGTTTGACATGTCTAGACATATCTTGAG